ACAGCTTAAACAAACAAAAAAGCATTTTTGATCAAAATCACTTACCAGGAAAACGACCAGGTTCGACCCCGCCCGAGGTCAATTTTTTGCTTTTTGCTTTTTCTACCGGAAACAATCTGAAATAACTGCAATGCCATTTGGCATGACCTGAGACATTAAAACGTACTCTCAGCTGATGTCAGTACTCCTCTGAGGCATGGCTTTAGTTAAGGTCAAAAGGTAGGGCCGGCCCGGGCCCAGATTTTGGCGGTAGGGCCGAGCCGGAGCCGGGGCTAAAATTTTGGGTTTAGGGCCGGCCCAGGGCCAGCCTTTCCCAGGCCTGCTGGGGAGTAAAATGCACTCTAACCCGACATTTCTGTCTAGGTCCTTCCCGATCCATCGATCCTGTTCTGCGACGACTGCCGACGAGGCGGCCTCGACGCGTTCATGGCAGGCCAAGTGGTGGACGCCCTAAAACGGCTGGCCGCCACCGGGAAGACGGTGATCACTGTCATCCATCAGCCGTCGCCCGAAGTCTTTGACATGTTTGACCGGTTTGTAACTGCTGGTTTCCGATGCTATAATTTTTGTGCTTCAGCGTCTGCTTCCTCGCGTTTGGCCGCGTAGCCTACCACGGCCCCACCCAATCGGCTCGGCGAATTTTTGGACTCGATTGGGGACCCTGAACTCGCGTATGCTTTTTATTTTGACGTTACTCGGCGCCGGCTCCTAAATTTTTGTCGATGAAAAGGCTGCAAAAATCAGAAACGTTGAAAAACTTGTTCCTTTTTAACAAAAACGTACTAAATTTATAAAGTACAAATTTATTTAATTTTCGTACTTTTAAAGGTGTCTAACTTGTCCGTAATTGGAAACCAATAAAAACACTAGATAAATAGTCTTATGTTTTATTATAATGGGTGTTAGGCTAAATAAAAGAAAATACAAAACGGCGTTTCTACGTTTTCAGCATCCCATAGATCACGATTCGGCTGATCACATGATCAGCATCCTCGCCCTAAACGTCGAGACCCAGGGAACAGGATTATGATCGAATCAAGGTAAGTATTAACCAACGACATGGATCACCATCCAATCTAGCGAATCGCGGCCACATTCAAGAAGTACACGAGATTGGCGAGAAATTGGCGCAGCGATCAGCGGCGAGGGGGGGGGTAAAGGGGCAGTGTTCGCAAACTTGAGGAGGAGGGCAACGGGGATATCGGCAACAAGCCACGGTATAGGAACTCTGAATGCTATCCTCTTTCACAGATACTAAGCTGACTTCCTGGTCCAATTCTGGACCCTCCTGAAGCGTGCGTCGCTGACCTGCGTCCGTGACCCACTACTCGTCAAGGTGAAGCTGGCCCAAGTTTTGGTGAGAAGCAATGCCTGCTGACGACTGGCCAAACCACGCTCCAGCTGACGTCGCTGGTGATCAGCCTGGTGAAATTGGCGCGTCGACGTGGGCGGGCGGACACGGTGCAGAACATTGAGGGCGTACTGCTTAACACGGCTCGCGACATGAACTCCTCTTCTTGTTCCCATCGATTGGGGGTTTACTATTGGGATTCGATGTTTATTATCCCAATTTAGGGTGGATTACCGCCGAGTTGCCGGGATTTTCCTGCGTGAACACCGGGCCAGGATTTACTCGGTGGATAGGTGGGTGAATTTGCAAATCTGTGTGTATCCGTTTATTTGCTTTAGTTACTATTGGGCCAAGACGGCCGCTGAAGTGCCCCAATACACGATATTGGCCATCGTCTATGGGTGTATCGTATACTGGACGACAAGTCAGAAACAGATCGGTTCTTACAAAGGCAAAAAATTCAGGTTTATTCGCCGGCGCCGCGAATTCCTCACATCTGCTGATCTGCGTGCTGCAGGCGTATGAGGCCATATTCGATTGGTAGGCTGGATGCTTTACCTGATTACCAGCGGCCCAGCTTGCTCAAGGACTCATTTTTCAGCCAATGCCGGCGCGTGCGTCTTCGGAAGTGAAGGAGCGGCCATCACCTTCATCCCCATCCTCGTGCTCCTGATGCTAATTTTTGGCGGTTTCTCATCAACTACTAAGATATCTGGCTTTACATGCAGGTGGACGATCCATGTCGGTCATCTTAATACGTTCATTTTAACTTCAAGTTTTCTAAATAATTTTTCCGCACGAACTAAAGTTGGGTGAATCTTCATATCGCCGAATTCTTCATTTTGCCGAATTTTCATATCGCCGAATTTTCATTTCGCCGAATTACGTATGAAAATCTATGTTGAGACCTTGGAATTTACAGAATAAATTTTGCTCCGCCTACCACATGATTTTGTCGGAGCATCAAGAAGATAACTTCTTACCTTCGTTGAAAAACCGCGGCACTGATGTTTGCTTCGACCCATTCCTGAAGAAGAGGTCGGCTGAGCTATATTTTATTGTTCGCCAGATAACGGGCACCGAAAAACCTGGCTGAATGAAGCTTTGTGCAATAAACTTTAGACGAAAATGACACATTCGGCGAAATGACAACTCGGCGATATGAAAATTCGGCGATAAGGAAAATTCCCGGCGAAATGGAATGTAAATCCTAAAGATGTTTTATTCAAGTACTCAAAATAATTTCAATGGGTATTACTTTACTAATAGAAGCCTTAGACGGATAGAATAATCTCGGATTGCCCGTTAAATATCAAAACCATTTTAGTGGTGGTGTCATCTCTCTTGGTTCCGCTACGGTTTCCAGGCCCTCCAGAACAACCAGTGGACCGCCCAGGGAACAACCTGGTATTAAATGGCCTTCCTAAAGGAAAATAGTATCATCTTTCAGGTTGCCTGAGCATCGAGACGAATTCGGGCGGAAATTGAACAAACCTTCTGACTGGACTCCGACGTACTGCGCAACCGCGGAATGTCCGTCAGCGCCCTGAATTATTGGGTCAATGCTGGTGCGAATTTTTTAAGCAATTTAATTCCAATTTGTCAAGCCATCCTCCTCGCGATGACGCTCGTCTCCCGATTCGTCGGGCTGATCGCCCTGCGGCTGCGCAGCTGAAACAACGCCTACACAAACTTTATTCTGCCCATTTCTTAATCATTGATTGTGATTTTCGGTATTTATGGGATAAATCTTTGTGCGCGTTTAGATATGGTTTCAGCTAGGCATATTACATCCAGAAGTTGCTCTCATAAGTAAGGGATCGCGCAGTTAGTCGCGTGCTGGTCTGTTAACCGGCGGGGGTGGGGGGAAAGCTTCCCTATCGCCCTGAAAGATGACGGAAGAAATTAAGCTTTCTTTTCTCTCTATTTTTATGCCGATTGATGCCGTGTTCAAGTAAACTAAGCTTTTAAAAGATCCTGAATTCGAAACTTTTTATTTTCTGCTAAAAATGAATAAAGTCAAAAATTTCAAATTTTTTATAAGTTTTTAGTAAACGATAACTACTAAAAACCAGAATCGGTTTTTTTATTACTATGGAGCTTAGGCAAATAAATTACGTTACCCCCGGGCTAACGCACCAGAACCGAGTTTTCCTGTCAGTCTGTAAAGGTAGCCAGTGCACAATCTGTCGGCCAATTTTCCGATCTCGTCACCCGCCTTTTTTTGGGGTGAAGCGGTTGTGGGATGGTCATTGTGTAGGTGGTGTTCGGCTGCCCGGCTTTTCAGCCGGACCTTGGGACTCGATACAACGCGTAGATAACTGTGTGGTCGACGAGATGGACCAGGCTTTCCCTCCTCCCCTTCTCCTCCTTCTCCTCTCCCAGATACTATCGGCCTCCCAGGCGTTGTCGGTCGAAATGGCTCCGCTAGTTGAGCATCATTTCTGATGCCGTGAAGCTGGAGGCTTCTAGCTTCGATTTTTGGCAACCATAAGCTTTCATTCTAGCTTCTGAGCCAACTAAAGCCAAGATTCCGGCACTGTGCTACGTTGGCGCCTACGACGGCTACGTTGCTTGCTTTGGCTTACAGGGTACGATTGCCATTTTGCTGTCCATGGAGTTTCAACTAAAAACCTAGTTTTTAAAAGCTGCAAAACGACGAGCTTCGAAGTGCGAGAAAAGTCACAGATGCCTATTTTCTGCGCATCTTTCGCAATTTTTAAGCTTCATAATTTCCTTTAATCCGGGGGCTCTCGGTGTAAATAGGCGCCCACGTACATGTGCTTGAGCTTATTAAAAAGCTTAAAAATTGTAAGAAAGCTAAAATGTTTATTTCAGGAAAATGGGCCTTCCCACCACCTATCGCCAAGTTCACCCCGGCTCTTCGAGGCAATTCATCCTTATTGCCGCCTATTGCATCGGCTTCCATCTACCTGTTCAGCCTCTTTTTCCGGTCGGCTACGGTAAGTTTTGCAGCGCCGACGGCAAATGGATCCTCATCAACAAATTGGCAAGTAGCCAACAGGGGAGAGAGCGCGCCCAGGGAAGAGGTGCAGAGACATTTTCTTTTCCGCGCGTAACCGATTGACTATGCCGGCGGCATCCCTTAAACGGCTTTAAATAACTTATAAGGCTTTCAATATCGCTGGATCACCAATCGACCCTATTTTCAGGACAGAACAAATTTTTTTCGAGAAAAACCACGAATGTGTCTCGACAAGACCGGCGAGCTGGATGCCATTGAGGTTGGATTTTCAGCATGCCTATAATCTCCTCGCGCGCTTAGCTGTGGCGCCGATTGCCGCAAGTGGTGAACCAGTTGAGCGTTCGCAGTCGGCTGAACATTCAAGGATTTGTCAACACCGACGAGACAAATACCACGTGATGCCCACTGGATATGTGAGTTTAAAATTTTTTAATTTTTAAACTTTCGATTCTTTAGTATTTCCGGAGGTACGACTTTTCTATAGGGCGGGAGCTCGTAATTTACCAATAATTACTTAAATAGTCGTTTTAGGCAAGACTTTGCTTGATTTAAAGTCGAAAAACTTCCTAGAAATCTGGAAACCCTGAATTTTGGTCGAAAACACGGGATTTCTGGCCGAAAATCAATGTTTTTGGTGCTTTTTGACAAAACTTTGTCAGTTTAGAAACATTTCCGCTATTTATTTAGAAAAGGGCTACTAGGGAAAAATTCGGTTTGCCCGAAAATACTAGAGAATCGACATTTCCATTTTCAGGCCTACGCCCCGGGCCATGAATGCGCGGTTATCTCGCTTGGGATTGGGAAGGATGTGGAAGCCGAGCGACAAATGCTGGTGCGTACAGTTTTTAATTTGCAGAGTTCTCCTTTAGACGGCCCTTCCGCATTGTGACTTCTTTGGCGCGGATCCGGTCAATGACACGAACGCCGATCTATATCCAGAGGTCAGTTTTGGCGCTATTTATAGCTTTGTGGCGGCGAAATTAAAGCTTATTTTTGAACCTCTAGGTAGGCCGCTTCTTCAACATTGCCGTTGGCGCGTCGAACGGGACGATGAAGGCTGAGATTTTGGAAGGTATTCATTTTTTTAGTTTTTATGA